TATTTGCAATGAATAAGTCATTGATTGTGCAAAATTCAATCATTCTATCTCCAGCTTCATTTCTGTCACCAAGTCCATGTTTTCCAACTACTGATTCTTCTTCCCTGCTCCCAACTTTTGCGTTCCAGTCACCCATTATTACCAATGCATCTTGATTGCAGAGGACTCCCACAATAACTTCTGACACGCCTGCAGGTAACAGGCTCCAAGGCAGAGACTATACCGGTTGGGGAGGAGCAGAGGGACCTGCTGCCTCCGGCAGACGCAGGACCAGAAGCGACGCAGGCTCAAGCCAAGAAGGTAGAACCTAACTAGAGACAAAAAAAAATGACCTGTACAAAGAAAACTACAGCACATTTCTTTGAGACACAATAAAAGATCTAAGGAAATAGAAAAATGTGTTCTGTTCATGCATAGAAGTCTCAATATTGTGAAAATGACAATAGTACCAAAATCAATCTACATGTTCAACACAGTCTAAATTCAGATAACAAATTAATATTTCAAGGAGATTGAAAGGGTATTGGTCAAGCTTATTTGTATAGGAAAGAGAGCCAGACTGTGCAAAGCACTTCTAAAAAATAGAAAAATGAAGTGGGAGGCATAGCACTCCCTGACCTCAAAACCTATTACACAGTGGTAGTAACCAAAGCAGCATGGTACTGGTCCAATGCCAGGCATATAGACCAATGGAGCAGAACTGATAACCCAGAAATGGACCCAGCTATCTATGGTCAATGGTTGCTAAATGTTTAAACACCTTTTTTAAACCCAAAAGTTGTCAGTTCACAGTAAACAAGCTGCTTTTGGGAGAAGAACCTGATAAGCTTAAACTTGCATAGTCATTTCTATTCTGTCACACAGTTGCATAATGAATGCAAAACAACTACTTGGTACCTTTCAACAGTAAATTACACATACACATGCACAGGCAGCACCAGTCTGAAGACATTTAGACATGTAAGAGCTGGTGTGAGGGGAAAGAAGAAATCTTAACTAAAGTAACAAAGGTTACTAAATATCCTACACTTTCATTTCATCAAATTACTCAAAATTCCTTTTGTTTGCTTAACTGAAATTTGTTTTAAAGTTTAAAAAGCAAATTGGTTTTTCAGTCAACCATTCACACATATTTGATTTTGAGAGGCCTCTTTAAACTAGCATTCCCTTAAAAAAATTAAATTGATTTTGAATGAACATTTATAAAGAATACTGTTGGGTTTCTCCATACATTAATAATTCAACCACATTCTGCTCCATAGTACCAATTATAATACTCACAAATGTCTTATTGCTCATTCATTCATTCCATGTTATCTAGAATTCACTCATCTCAGTAAGTGTTTTTGACTATTAAAGATTTTTAAAAGGTCAGTCAAATATAGAATGTACCATACCATCTTTTTCCCCATTTAAATGATTACTTATTCACAACTTTGTTGATTTAGCAAATATTCATAGGAAACCTAACAATTACTGATCTCATAATTTAAAGATACAAAACTGAACAAGATATACTCTATACCTCTAAAAATTTACTTCTTAGGGACAGGAATTGGGTGAGGAGACAACGGCAAAACTACAAAGCTGAGCAGAGAGGAGGCGGCCAAATCTTAAATGGGCTTTGCATGCCATGAGAAGTGTTGGACTACTTTTTTGCAGGAAAATGGACATAAACACAAATATTCAAGGGAAGCCCTAAAGTCCCTCATGGAAGAACAGCAGGATTCCAGGAATTCCAAATTAAGCTTCTTGCCAGAGGTAGAACAAAGGCAGTGCTTCACAGGAAGTAGCTCTGAGAAGTTCCCCACTCTTAAATAGATAAGACATACGAAGAAATTGGTCTTATTATTCACAAAACAGTGCCAGTAAGGCCAAACAGTAGGTGTGCAGAAGATTGGTTGATGGATATAGAGTGGAAGACACTGAAATGTGATCTGTCTTACTCAATGCTACCAACTGCTAAAGACAGCGAATTAGATTAACTGCAATGGTCTTCTTAGAGATTGAAAGCTCAAGGATAGGTAAATAGAGAAAGTTAAGTATTCTTTCAGTTCAGTTATTTTTAACTCCAGTATTAAATTTTACATCACTAGGAGGATTAATTTTTTGTCATTCCATATTTTCATAATAATATATCATTTTTCTCATGAAAATAATCATGAAAGATTAAGCATGACTACTATTCATCTCAGATTTCCTGAAATAACCTTCAATTCAACATTCTGTACTATTACTCTCACAATAATAAAAGGCCTTGGAAAAGCAAGTATTTCAGTATCTAGCCTCTATACCAGACACAGTAAAAGGATTCAGGAAACATGGACATCTTGATATATATGTATGGAGTGGCATCCACTTCCTGAACAGCATGCCTCTGGAAACTCTGTGAACTTTGATAAATGTCAATAACTGTAGAGGGGCATCAGGCCTTTTGTTCATAGGGTCACTATGAGTTGTGCTCAACTTAAAGGCAATCAACAATGACAAGCATTAGAAACCATTTCATTTAGATGAACCAAGCTTTCATATAATAAATCCTATGATAAGTAATCACCAGAAATCTGCATTTTTAATATATAACAAGAGACTTGAGTCCTGATGGTACATTAAAGTGCTTAGTTAGCTTATAAACTGAAAGGGCAGTAGTTTGAATACATTAACTACTTTACTGGAGAAAGACGAAGCAATCCACTTCTATAAAGACTTACAGCTTGGTAAACCCTATGAGGCAGTTTTACTTCGTCCTATAAGGTTGCTGCAAGGTCTGGTGGATTAGTGGCAAGGAGTATGCTGCCAATCCAAAGGGCACAAGGCTCAAATCTACGAGCTGCTCTGAGGGAGGAAGATAAGTAATCTCCTCCCATGCTATTTACAACCACCGAAAACTGTCTGGAGGGTCAGCTGTGAATCAGTGCCTGCTCGACAGCACTTAGCAGGGCAACCATGAGTCAGAATCCACTTAATGGCAGTAGGCTTGATTTGGGTTTTGGTTTTAACAAGTGAATGAGCTTTATAGTGATCTACATGGATAGTGAGTTTGAGAAACTCCAATTTAGGAAGATATAGATATAGCTATATAGATACAGCTATATATAGCAAGCAACTCTATGGCACATAACAACAACAACAACAACAACAACAATATAGATATATAAAGTAGCTATTATGCATTTTCTATTAGAATCATTGAAATAGGAAAAGCACCAGTTGTAGTAGAAGATGCTCAAGAAGACCCAAGCCGTTCTGTGAGCATCCTTTCTGTGCACAGTGGCATATTTATTCAGTAAAATTTTCACTTCTTAAATGGATCAGAACATTTTCTCTCTCAAATTCTAATCAACCAGAGTTATTGTTATACCAGATGGCTCTGCAAGTGGAATGGAGGCAGAGCATGCACCACATCAATTGCTCTGAAATTTATGGAAAACAATATGGGATGACAACTGTCAATCACTGGTGGCAGTGAGTGTCAGACAATAACCTGATTCTCTATGGCCATTTGATATTGAAAATCAATGACAATCAAAACAACTATTGACATGATGTAATTAGGAGCTAAGGCATTTTTTAAAAAACTTTTAATTAAATAAAGCATTTTTGAATGCATAACAAAATCTATATGCAAGATAAAATATACATATGTATTTTAAATATTTTCAAAGTTTCTAGAATTAGTGTTCATCAAAAACAGTGAACTCTAAATGGACTAAGATGAGGCATAATTAAGGAATATAGGATTTTAAACAGTTTCTAAATAAATAATGATGAAAAAGTCTGAATGAACCAAATTTTTAAAAAAAAATCAAATTCTCAAGCAGAAAGTAGTGTGTATGCTGAGTTAGGTTGACCATACATTTAAACAAACACTATAATTGCCCTTGAGTTGATTCCAACTCATAGTGAACTTGGATGATAGAGAAAGCACAGGGTTTCATATGCTGCAGTCTTTATAGAAGGAGACTTCTAGGTCTTTCTCCAATGGAACAGGCGATAGGACAGATTTGGGATCGGAGAGCGGGCTCCAAATGAATAAAATGAATTATGACATCATGAAATCCTGGATCTCACACATCTTTCTGAAAATATTCAATACGCTTTTAGTTATAATAGCTGCACAGCCTCTATAGGGTGGCTTGGGGCGATGCTCCAGTGACTATGCATCGCTGTAACTTTCCACCTCCTCCTTCCTAGAACTCCGTTATTAATAGTTCCATGCTTTGAGGGCCCACTTGAAACCTGAAACATCATTTTCCTCGTGGATTACTTCATACATTGGTGTAAAAAATTATTTTCTAGAAGATGAATTATATTCTTACCCGTTTCACAGCTGGGTCCAGTGAAGCCTTGTGGGCAAGCACACACATTAGCCGCAATACAGGCTCCACCATTCCTGCAGCCATCTTTGCAAAAAGCTAAAATAATTTAGAAACATAATTTTAGCACTTCAGAAGAAAGCAGTGCAATATACTTCAAAACCAGGCTATCTTTTTTTTTCTACCAGTGATGAGAAAAGCAGTTAGAAACAGATAACAATTAGAGAACAAATTAGAAAAGCTGTTATTATTTCATATTTGTATTATCCTTTCACCTATATGAGAAAGAACATTTTCATGTTAACTAAATATTTCACCTCTAAATTAAGAACTAAAATATTTTAAACAAGTAAATACTAACTATATAACAGGAAGTGCACTAAAATTAAATTTCACCTCACTGTAACAATCAACTTGAAAATGAAACCACAATGAGATACCATCTCACTCCAGTAGCAGTAGCAAAGATTAACAGGACAGCAAGTAATAAATGTTGGAGATGGTGTAGAGAGATAGGAAATCTTACACACTGTTGGTAGGATTGTACAATAGTACCACCACTCTAAAAGGTAGTTTGGCATTTCCTTAAGAAGCTGAACAGAGATATTCTATATGATACAGCTATTCCATTGCTTGGAATATACCCCCCCAAAATGAGAACTGAGGCACAAACAGAGATTTGTATACCAACCTTTATAGCAATGTTATTTGCCACTGCAGGAACATGGAAACAGCCCAGATGTCCAATCACAATGGAATACATTGAGAAATTGTGGTACAATCTCACAATAGAATGCTACATAGCACGCAGGAACAATAATTTTAAGAATCACCACATAATTTGAGAGGGACTGTAGAGCATTATGCTAAGTGAATAAACTCAGTCCCATAAGGACAAATACAGTGTAAGACCATTATTGTAGAAACAAAGATAACTAGTAAGACATGTATGAGGATCCGAGGGTGGAGGGTAGGAGCAGAGGGTTGAGGGTGGGTGAGGCTGTGGGTGAGGTGGGTCACACAGTTTGGTTGGTAGAGTGAGGGATAGGTAAAAGAAATGGGAAAAATCTGGTGTGAAAAAACAATAAAACAATGTATACAAACTTTGTAAGTAAAACAGTATAAAATAAAAATTTTATTTAAAAGGAAAATAGTTATCCTAGCTTTCTTAAGGAACAAAGTACTATCAAGAGACTGAAAACATGAAATAGGAAATGGTTGAACTCCACGAGGCAATTACCATTCTATTCATGGACCAAAATACTAAATTATTAAGGAACTTTCCCAGAGACTTTTAAAGTTTCTTAACTAGCTCTTATCCAATAAGAAAGAAGACTTTATTATAGCGGATTTTGGGAAGAACCTTGCATTTCACTATTGAGAAGAGTTAGGATCCAGGATCACAGACATCACGAAGATATTTATAGACTATGGTATATACAGTAGGTTTATGAGTGAGAAAAGATGCTTTTGGTGAATAGGAAATGGAGTTAATGGTTGAACCCTTACAAAGATAGTATTTTGGGATGTACTGGCTTCAAATAAGGTGATAAAAAAATAAAAAAAAACACACGAGGGGAGTAAGACAAAGCTACTTTAAGAATTTCTCCTTTAGCTGATGTTTAGCCTTTGGCTCTTTAAGGTCTAAGAGTGAGTTAGTCCACGTGCTTGGTAAACTGATCATAGTTGAAATTAGTCCCTTTTGGCTCTTGGTAGCCCTCCCCTCCATGTTTTAGCACATCATTCCTCTAATTACTTAAAATGGACTCTCTTCATCCTAGGCAAAAAAACCAACCAAACAAAAAAACCACCAACATATTTAGCTCACCAAGGACTTGGAGGTTATTGCTGTTGTTGTTTTTATGTGCTCTCCAGTCAGAACCTACTGTTAGCTGACTCTGCAGGGGGTTTTCTGCAGCAGTAAATTCCCATGAAGGAGACTGCTCATCCTTCTCTCCTGAAGTAGCTTGTAGCACAGCTTCTTACCAATAGAAAATTTGCATTTAAAATTCATTAGTTATAAAAAGTGCATCTACCTGACACATTTTGCTGAGCATATCTTTTGTGGAGTAATGTGGAAAGTTGTTAGAGCATAGGACTTAATGATTGAAATCCTATCCCAAATTCTAAGCATTTCCTTTTTCATTCTGAACAAAGATGTACACAGGAATTGGGAATTCTCTATCAAGATCAAACTTTCACAAAGAATTTATAGATTCTTGAAGTCCTCCTTCCTTCAAGGACATGATTTCTTTATCTGCATCTGTTCATAATTTCAAAATTCTTGACTCCATTTATTACTCTTCATATTAAACTGAAGTCACAGTCATAGAGACTCTAAGAGAAGAAAGTGAAGCTATGTGTTCCCAGATAAAATCTTAAATCCAGAGTGTCAGACTGTGTGGATACTTGTATAAATTCTTAAGGTTTCCGTTATATTGTTCCATGGTATCTTGCTTTTTATTGTAATTTATTTCATTGATTCAAAAATGGAGTTGAGTGTTCATTGCTATTTATTTCATTCATCAAGCAACTCTTCATAGGATGTGAACTCCAAAATGAGTACTTCATCTTGACAATGAATGATCTCATATTTGGAAAAAGTGATCAAAGACAATGATCTTGTAATTGCAGAAAAAGGAAACTCTCAACAAGATGAATAGAAATGTTGACTATAATGATGGCTTTTGAGCACAGCAGATTGTGATAATGTCACAGGATTGGGTAGTGTTCTTTGTTGCATATGAGTTACTATAAACGGTAGTGACTCAGTGGGACCTAACAACAAGGACAAAAACATAATCTTTTAAAGATTAAAACTTAACCTTTGACCCATCCATATCTGCCTCTAATTTGTTGCTACAGATCAGGTCATAAAATCTATGCTTGTGGGGCTACTACACTAGCAACTATTCCTTGTTATTTCTTACCTCTAATACTCACTGTTATATATTGATTGAATTGTTGTATATTGATAGTAAACTACAAATAGTTCTGTAAGATTAAAAGGCTCAATGAATTTGAGGAATGAGCTATTTTGTATAAATTTGAAAAATCTCAAGTAAATCTATAAGATAAAAATAAGGTATAAGAATTGTATTCCACAGGAATTTATAGAGTATCCAAAATAGATCCACTTGTTACCTTCAGAAGCAGGAAGTAAGCTCATCTGATGAGAGAAATGAGGACAGTGGTGAAATGATAGGTAGGTACTGATGGCTGTGAACCACAGTTTGAACATCTACTGGTGAAAAGAGAAATCTAAACTCAGCATAATAGTTCAAACCACTTAAAATTGGTAACTACATATAGAAATTCAGTTGTTGCTGTTGGGTACCGTCCAGTTGACTATAATTCAGAGACCTGACGAACAAAGGATTTGACTCCTGGCCTGTCCTGTGCCATCCTCATCACCTCTGATATACTCGAGTCCATTGCTACAGTCACTGTGTCAAATCACCTTATTGAGGGTCCTTTATTTAAATGACCCACCATCTTTCAAAGCAGGACGTCATTTTTCAAGGACTGGCTCCTCCCAACAGCATGCCTAACATAGGTAAGATGAAGCTGCACCATTGTTATATACCAAGAACACCCTCACTATACCTTCTCCAGGTCACATTGATTTGTCCTTTTGGAAGTCAATGGCATATTCAGCATTCTTTTCCCACACCACAATTCAAAGGTATTGTTTCTTTTTTGGTCATTCTTACTTATTATCCAACTTTCACATGCATGACAATTAGTTGAAATGTCCATGGCTTGACTAAGTGAATTTTAGTCTTTAAACTGACAACATTGCTCCTTAACACTTTGGAGAGGCCAGACCTTTCAAATGCAATGCCTATGTTGAATTCTTGACTTCTGGTAACAAGGGTTTTGATTATGAACCCAAGCAGGATAAAACTATTGACAACTTCAATCTTGTCTCAATATATCATGATGTTGCCTCTTGGTCCAGTGGTGAGGTCTTTTGTCTTCTTGATACTGTGGTACAATTAATTCATATTGGAGGCTTTGATCTTCTGCATCAAGTGCTTCAACTCTTCTTCATGTTCAACAAGAAAGGTTTTGTTATCTGCATAATGCAGATTGCTCAGAAATATCCCTCTACTCCTGAGGTGACATAAAGTCCAGGCTCCTGAATTATTTCCTTAGCATACATTTTTTAAGAGACATAAACGCAGGTTATATACCTGGATTTCACCTGATGGTACGCATAGGAATCAGATGGATTACATCTGTGGAAAGAACCGCTGGAGAAGCTCAATATCAGCTG